ATTTCAACCAAATTTGGTACACAGATGACTTACCTTCTGGAAACAAATACTGGGGGGTGGGGGTGGTAAGGCACCCCTGGGGTGTGTCTGTGTTCCAGCATAACTCTGGAACGCCTGAGCCGTTAAGGAGAGCAAGTGCAGCATACTAGAATGACAATTATTTGTGGTGTCATGGGAGGGGGAAGGGAGAACCTGGGCTGTTAAGGAGAGCATGTACAGGTCTTAGAGCGGCAATTGTTTGTGATGTCATGGGAGAGGGAAGGGAGAGCCTGGGCTGTTAAGGAGAGCGAGTGCAGCGTCCTAGAGTGGCAATTGTTTGTGAAGACATTCCTTCACAGCTTTCTCTGAAAAGCCAGCCATGATGTTCGCCCTCCAGGGGACCAAAGGGGGAAGGCCTCATGGATTTGGTAAACAGGGCAGGAAAGAGGAGCACATGAGAGGGGGAAGGGAGAGGGCAGGGATGATGGGAGCACATTGGAGTAGGGAGAAGAAAGGTCCCTCTCAATGGCTCCCTGTCAAACAAACACATTGATGTCTATAAATACTCAGGCAACCCATGGTTATCAGCTAGTACTGAATAAATCAGGGTATCCGATTAAAGACTTTCTAGGGAAAAACAATAATATCCTCCAATAGCTCATGAATTTTTAATGTAGTTATACATTCAATTGTTATAGCAGTTTTAGAGTTCATTTGTGGTTGGACACCAATGTTGCTTGATTGGGTAATCATATCTAAAAGCATTCAATTCTATTTCTGTCATCAATAATTCCTAGCCTGCTTCTTATAGCAGTAGGAATAGCAGTTAGACTTAGTTATATACCACTTCATAGTGTTGTGTGATGTGTGAACTTCCATTTCCAGAATTCCTTAAACCCAGACGTTGGTGAATTCTGGGAACGGAAGTTCGCGCATCTTACTGTCATCGAAGTTGAGAAAATCTGGTTTAAAATCTAGCCACACCCCATGTCTCCTGCCGTTAATAGGTCAGCAAGCGCCAAGAAACGGCGCCAGTCTATTTGCACCTCCAACGCGTCATGCCCGCCCCCCAAAAAACGCCATCCGAAAAACGCTGGCCGAGACAGCCTTTGCCTTTTACGCCACGAGCCCCGCCCGCCTCAGGCTCTTCCAAAAGCGGAAGCCTAGAGCAGGGATTTCCAACCTTGGCAACCTTAAAGACTTGCGAACGTCAACCCGCAGTCCGTAAATCTTAAGGTTGGAGACGCCTGGCCTAGAGGACGTCGAGGCAAGCCCAGCGTGGGATTCCGATCCGAGACCGCTATCGCCACCTGCCTTTTCAGGCCTCCGGCGCCCTGGCAGGTTGCGCCGGGGAAGCAGGCGGAGACGAAACGCCCCACCTTCTTCTCGCCAGAGACAACCCCGCTACCGCGTGAGGAGAACGCGCATCACATTCACCTCGCCAGGCCCAACTCATCGCCGCCAGCGCCAAAATCGCGAGAAGCCGCGAAGGGCGGCGACGTCGCCGCGACATGGCGCTCAACGCGCAGGACGAAGAAGCGTTGGAATCCGGCGCGCGGAGATTGTTGGGGGCGGGGCGTTCAAGGGCTCGAGTGCCAGCTCCGGCCACGGCGGGGTGGAGAGGGCTGTCGTACCCCCGCCGGTCTTGCTTTTCATTTCCATTTAGGCTGCCTGCGCAGGGACAAGTAGACTGCAGATGGAAGTACAAATAAGATCTAGATAGATTTAGAGCTGAATAAGTTTATTGGATGAGAAGCGAAACGTCTTCAAAGGAAAACCGGAAAGCCGAATTGCCTCTTGGAAAAAGCACCTTTGGGACAACCAGGACCTTGATAGCAGAGAATCTCCATAGGATAGATCTTGAAAGGTTTGCGGCGAGCTTGACTTGACCTCTGGATAGTTCAGATACGTTGAGCATTCATAGGTAGGCTGGCGAAATTGCTCTGGATAGCAGTCAAGCGGCAGAAGCAAAAGGGAGAGGCCGTTTGGAGACCGTCAGGCTGAAATGACACCAAGTGCTTTTTTAATCAGCAAACTTGATAGGAGAGATTAACAATTTAATGTAGGAATCTCAGAAGTTCCTACCAGGTTCTCTTGCTGTTCCATTGGACTGAATGGCGTGAAGAAGCCCTGGCGGACGCAGCGCTTTACCGGAAGGTTCTGCCTTGACTTAGTTTCAAAGCTGTGCCCATGTTCATAATTTAATCTGCGCCGTCCTTTTTCTCCAAAAGTCTTCTCCCCACTCCACCCACCCAAAAAAAAGAAATACAACAAAGACTAGTTTATTTTTTGTTTGGAAATTTATTTTCGGATTGAATTTAGAATTGTTTTAATAATTTCTAAAAAGAAAAATTGATTATTACTATTTATTGTATATCCTAGTACCATAACTTGCTCAACGCACTTGAAGTATTTCCTGCTTAATGAATATGGAATATGAATGGATGATTAAATTAGTATACTGCCAGGCTCTCAACAACTCTGGGCAGTTTACAACAATCAAAAGACATCATACAAAAAAAAAATACAACATAAATAAAAGATGGCAAGCATAATGAAGTGGGCAGGTCTCAGAGGGCTGCCTCACCAAAGGCCAAAGTCCAGAGTAATAAAACATTTATGCATGTATGTTTTATAACAAAACAAAAGTGATCATAATACATTATCAAAGAAAAAACAAAGTGCTATAACAAAGTAAAAGAATGTAATAAAAAGAATAATATATGTCAACAATAAATGGTCACAAATCACCTCTCTAATGCAAATATTCAAAATGTGTATGATACATTCATACAACTTTTAACCTATTCTCTACAAATGCCCCATATTTCAATATATTTGCCCATACACAATCTTCTATAAGCAATTCGCTCATGAGCGACAACTGCAACCAAGTTTTCAGTCCATTGAGTAAAGAGGGACATACATTTATCTTTCCAAATATCAGTCTTCTGGTCATAATAAGGGCATGAAGAATCCATTTATATTGTTAAGTTGTCAAATTCCTTGTACTGGTATGTACTTCAAGAGAATGTTATCTGATAATTTTAGCTTTTGTAGCACAATCATTTTGACATAATCCATTACTTTTTAAGCATG